CCAGCCTGCGTCGCCGGCCTGCGGGTGCTGCTGCTGCTTGTTGTGCCGGGGCGGGGGCGTCAGGGGCAGGTCGCTGCTGCTCACTGCCGCGACAGCCGGGGCCCCAGCCGCCCGCTGCCCCCACCCGCCCGCGGCTTCGAGTCCGGCCGGGTCAGAATGCACAAACACGATGCTGCTGCCGGGCGGCGCCTGCCGGCGGAACCCCTCGGTGAGCCCCTGGCGCCGCGCGGCGCCGCAGCCCGCGACGATAACACGCACGGGCGGCCGCGCCGCCAGCGGGCTCGCCGCGGACGCCGCGGCGGCGGCGTCGCCGCCGCCGCCGCGCTGGGGGCGGCTGAGATCTTCTGAGGACATCGTGGACGCGCGGCTGATGGCGCGGCTCGGGGGCGCCGCGGCGCGGAGCGGCGGGAGGGCCAGGCGGCCGCGCGCCCCGCGCGCCGGCAGGATGCTGGCTGCGGCGGGCGGCGGGGCGTCGAGCGCGCAAGGTGCAAGAGGCTTCAGAGGTCAAACAGCAGAGGGCGTCGGCCATCGCACGATGCGGCGCAGGCACGCCCGCTAGCCGTCAATATGAGGAAGCTGCCCGTGGCCAAGTGCAAGCCAGCAGCTGCCCAAGGCGTTCCGACGGATCGAATCATATCAGATGAGATCAGAGCAGGGCGTAGCTGTCCGATCATCTTCCTCACCGCCGCGCGCGAGTCCCACGAGCTCGTCCCCGGCCGCCAGCCGCGTCGCCGGCGACGGGTTGAGCAGCAGCCGCCCGTCCGACGCCGCCACGACCCCCACCAGCCACGCGCCCGCGCCGCGGCAGGCGCGCCACGCGTCGCAGAACGCGCGGCCGGACAGGGCCGGGCCGACGGGCGCGTATCGGAAGGCGGCGCTGCCCGGGCCCTGTCGCAGGGCCTCGCGGCAAACAGAGGCCAGGCCCGGCTGGAGGGCGGTCTGCAGGACCAGCCTGGCAGTGCAACAGGCGGCGGGTGGCGCGGAGCGGATGAGGGGTGGGGGCGGAGG